TAAGTGTTGTCCAGAATTCGTTTGCTTTGTGTTTAAGACCCATTTCGTCTGACCCCTTTCAGTTACAGCTCGCGACTCCTGTCTTTCCCTTTAGCTATAGGTTGGAAGCTGAACTGTGAAGTTTCGGAAGGTCTTTCCGAACTGAGTTCCATCATGGTGTCTTGCTGTGCAGTTATTATGGCAGATCGTACTGACAGTGATAACCTTAACAGTGATCAGTAGTTATTCATGAATTGCGATACTTCTGAGACAGAAGCACAAGGACTTCCAGACGTCGTTTTCTTCATACAATAGGTGGATGAACTCTAGTAGAACAGATGTATGCAATGTGTATGGCGATTGCAAATGCAGTTGTGCAATAGACACGTGTGGTTTGAGAACCAGGAAATGTGCTGTGTTTATATTTGGTGGTCTGTGAAATTAAAATTTAAAAAATCAGTAATTTTTATGTGTATACACTTATACATAACATATTGTGTATACGTGCATGGACACTGATGTAAACGAACATGCTTGCTGTACACACTCAAAAAAAATATGGCAAATCCGTTTATTTTAATAGATTTTGGTGATCTTATGATGGCAGGTAAGAAAAAGCCCTCCCCTTTTACAAAACCAGGAAGTCTGTTAAGGGATCTACTGTTTAATGAGAATACAATATTAGAGTATATTAATTGAACAGGTTAGGACATTGCAGGGCTTGGGCAATCGATTTTCGAAATATTCATATTCAGTTTGTATTGATAGATACAATAGTTATTGTCGTAGGAGGTTTTCCCAAAAAAGACAACCGTATTATCGATGCGTTTTGACTGGCAGGAAAATCATCTTTTTCTCGCAGTTACTTGGGGTACCTAAATATGTGACGGAGTTTCGCGGATTTTCTAAGCTTGCCTGGAATCTCATATTAGCTTGAGATTAAGAATTGTATTAACATCTGCCTTTGTTCATTTCATAGATAGATTTACAGCGAGCGTATGGATCAGTATTATTGCGATTTTGAGGGTGGTTTGTGTGTTGCTCCTGATGGTAGTTTTCGGTACCGAGTGAAAGGTGGTTAAAGCTGTGTGCGGCGTGCTGGTGGTTGTTGTGATGAGTAAACGTAGAGTTTTGTTTCTATGGCATTTGTGGCGAAAATGAGCTGCTGAAGAATCGATGGCAAAGCACCCGCCTTGATGCACTTGTGGCGGCTGCAGTGTCATGGCAACAGGCATCCTCGGCCCACAGATTGAATTAATGTTGTAAATGTTAATATATGTGAAGGATGAGTAAGTTTTGCGATCATATGTTTATTTTATTACCAGTTAATGTTGTCCTATATTAGTAGATTCATTGCCTCTTCAGTATAATGTAGATTTGTATAAAGAAATAGAAGCTGCGATTATTAATGATTGTGGGCATAGCTCGTTATGATATTCATATGCGTAAAGATATATACGCCTATTGGAAACGTGAGCAAGTGAGAAATATCTAGACATCGGAAGGTGATCAGAGACGTGAGCTGGAATGGAGAGGAGCAGAGAGGTGGCGACATGAATGAGGCTGAGCAGTGTACTGTCAGCGCCGGACGCACGCACTTACAAACGCCGGCGACTCCTGGCACTACACGTCGGAGGACATGCGCGCTTGTGCCTGCATCACCGTGGCGCCCTCCCCGCCACGCTCCATGCACGGACATTCAATAAGGATAAAAAATAGAAGTTATTGCAACTTTCCTTGACTTGACTAATTAGTGCACGTCGTAGGTGTTTGTCGAGACGGTTTCTTTTTATATAATTTTCCTTTAACGGAAGTAACCTTTCGTGGATTGAGAAGTTACTGTCCATGTGTAGATGAGCTTGGGAGGCACTCTTTGGGGGACGCGCAGCCTGTTGGTAATAGATTAGTGGGGGAGGAGGGAAAAGGGGGGATTGCATGGGGGAGGGGAAATCGTCCTCTTGAAGTACCACCATTCGTTCCCTCCCTCCCTCCCGTTCACTGCTGGCGGGAGGGAGCTCCGTCTAGTCTCTGTCTAGACGCAGTCGCGGCCCACTGCCTCCTCCTCCTCCTTCTCCCCCCTTCCCCCTCTCTCTAGCCTGCCTTCCCACGCTCCCTTACCGTTGCCGGTCTCATTCCTGTCGTCACTCTCAGTACAGTGCAACACACTCTCTCTCTCTCTCTCTCTCTCTCTCTCTCTCTCTCTCTCTCTCTCTCTCTCTCTCATCTCTCTCTCTCTCCTCTCTCTTCTCTCTCTCTCTCTTCTCTCTCTCTCTCTCTCTTCATCCCTTCTCTCTCTTCTCTCTCTTCTCTCTCTCTCCTCTCTCTCCCCTCTCTCCCTCTCTCTCCCTCTCTCTCCCCTCTCTCTCCTCTCTCTCTCTCTCATCTCATCTCTCTCTCTCTCTCTCTCTCTCTCTCTCTCTCTCTCTCTCTCTCTCTCTCTCTCTCTCTCTCTCTCTCTATCTCTCTCCCTTCTCTTCTCTTCTATCTCTTCTCTCTTTCTCTCTCTCGTTCTCTCTCTCTC